GGGGGGGGGGGGCACGGTGAGCCACCCTAGCCCATAGACTATCAAATTAATAATCAGAATATTCAGTCTTCTACCATACAGTATATCAATTCAAAGAAGCCAAAAATCTCTAATTTAGGTTTGGAGCAGTTTGCAGTCTGCAGTATTAGTATATTAACTGTCTTGTTGCAGGATTGAGACATTTTCTGACAGCGTAACTTACATTCGCAGTGTTTTCCATCTCTTTTCAGCTTGTAGTTCCTCCTGCACTCGCATTTGTAATGATCGTTGCCCATGTCCACACACTTGTGCTCACATCCACCATTTGACACAGAGCAAGAATTCACACCTTTAAATCCAAGTGAAAAGGTGGTCACATTTTCTCTTGGCAGACAAAAGAAACGTTACAGGCTTACACAAACAGCTTTCACAACTCAGATGATTGGAGAAAACATTTTAATACAAGCTGGAAAATAGAAAGTGGTATTCAACTCTATTTTAGTTTACACTGCTGTTTACAAATTTAATGATTTTTCCATCCTGTTGCCCCAATGTGCCAGATGTGAACATTAACCATAGGCCTTGGTGCTCTCACCACTGACATGTTGGCACAGAGCAGTTGTAAAACCAAAACAGGATTTTACTACTGATGAATTCAACAGACACAATTAAATGACTACCAATAAGCTTCATCTGRCAAATAGAGTTATTACAGAAAATTACCACTTTGTTACTGCTTTGTGTTTATGAATTTTTAAATTACGTTGAAGCAAAAATATTCCTTTTTTTACCTAAAGAGTGTCGATGAARCTCTTCAGGTTTTTTCAATATCTCTGAGTGTTTTATGGTTCAGGCAAACTGGGATATCAATATCCTGGGAAGATTGGCAGCTATCTTCTGTGTTTTCTACTTGTATTTTTTTCTTTCTGCAGAACGATGGCCTCAGATTTTATTTATTTAAATTTTTTTTGGAGAGGGGGTCCCTTTAAGTCTTTCCAGATTGATGAACAACAACAGATGTTTCTCTGAGGTCAGTGCTAATGACTTGTGGAATGTGTTATGCTCCAGATTAGCGAATTGTCAAAACACCTGATTTTAAAGAGGTGTTCATTGCTGAAAAACTGTTTTTCCAAGTCTATTTGATCAGCAGCACTTGGTTTCTATTTCCCTGGTTATATGGAAGCAGCAATATTGAATTTCATTTCTCATTAAGAACCTTTTCATACTGGCTTTGTTTTTTTTTTCTTGAACCAGTCACTCTTCATTCACCAGCAGAGCATTATTGGATCTTATACCACGACCCAGTCTCCTTCATGTTCCCTGTGAGTTCTTGTGCTCCTCTATAATCATCTCCTGAGTTCATTCTAAGATTTTTGCCATGTCAGCATTTTGGTTTTATTAATAAAAAATAGGTGTTCTTTTTGTTTGTTTGTTGGTTTTGTTTTGTTTTTTGTAAAACCTCTTTGTGTCTGGTTCCTGGGTCCAACTCAACYACATTAGTTATGTATTCCAATACAAGACATTGGGTGTTTTTTTTATTTGTATTTTTTCATGTATGCCAAAATGGTATTTCTGACTAATCTTTCTATATAAATCAATTACTCGGGATATTAATATTAAAAAAAAATCTATCTTTTTCTTTGGAGAGAGGCACTTACCAATGCAAGTCCGACCATCGATGTGCATTCGAAATCCTTCACTACACTCACAGTGATAAGAGCCTCGTGTGTTGACACAGGTTTGTTGGCATCCTCCGTTGAGTTCCTCACACTCATTTATGTCTAAACACAAAGAATGTGTAAAAACATTTTATACCTCTACGCATTTAAGTCTTCCTGGGAAAAAAAAGCCTCAAGCAGACTTTTTTTTCTGTCATAAAAACTCATTTTACTTCAACGAAAGTACTTCCTTACTGGAGTAATGAGTTCAAATCTTGTGTGCAAGTAAAATCTCTGACTGATGTTTTCTGAATGAGCTAAATGAACTGATTGTTTGGATAAACCTGAAAAGTCTGCCAACTGTTCTGACTTCAAAGATCATTACTCATCCCTCTTACAAAAATACTAGTTCTGACTCAGAAACACATATTCACAWGTTTTTGTAAGAACAAGAGAACATTCTGAGCACTTTTTGACTTTTGCTTGTTWACTAGAACTCATTTTACATTAAATTTCAGAGCCATCATAAAGCTTGGCTGATATTTGTTGTAGAAAGAGGAAACTGAAAGTAATATTTAGCATTTTCTGCTAAATAAATCTATATATGTTATAAATAATTCTGAGTTTAATTCCTTTTAAGAGCTGTGTGTACAGTCAACCCATGGAAGCATATAACTCAAAATGATCTTCAGACTGAAGCTAGCAAAAAGAAAAATGTCAAAAAGTGGCCAACATAGAGAAAAGTTGGGTTTTCCCCACATTTAAATATTCATAGAAAAGTTAAAAACCCTCTACAGCTGACTGTGGTGGTCATGGTTGTKAAGCAGGAGTTTTCTCTACTTTTCAACACACATGCTTTTAGTAGAAAATCTTTAACAAAGAAAGTTTGAAAGTGATTTATTGCTCGAGTCACTGATAAATAAAAAAATAATATTATTGATTTAAATAACATAATCCACCCCTCGCACCATGACTGCTGGGTATGGGTAACAGTTAATATGGTTACCCTTGTGAGGAGACAGGACTTTAACAGTAACTTTTTCACAGAATTAAATCCCATGTTATGTGTTTGTGTAAATGACCAAAAGTGCCCTAAAGAGAAGCCTGTCTTCACAGCCTGATTGCAGCCGCTGCTTGTGCTACGTTTGTCGTGTCACTCTGTCTTACCATGACAGGCTTTGCCATCAGTGCCCAGTCTTGTGCCTTCAGGACACTTGCAGTAGTAGCTGCCAAAGGTGTTGCAGCAGAAACCTTCACAACCGCCTTCATTCACCTCACATTCGTTAACATCTGTGGGTGTGCAGAAAATAAAAGGTGGGTGACATAATGGGAAAAAAAAAAATTTAGTCCACAGAAAAATTATAAAATCATTTAAACAAAACTTTAGACATGTTAAACAAATTATAAACTGTACTGGGGAAACCCCCTCACCTCACTTCACCTCATCTCACCACTGGTTGACCTTTGACCACCTGTGGGTCAAAGCTCTCCTCTCCCCAGACTGAACAATTTCAGCTCTCGATGAGAGCTATTAAAAAAATAAAAAAAACTTTTCTTGCCTCTCTCCTCCTCTGGGAAAGAAACATTCTCAAGAAATTTGCTATTWGTTGATAAAACAAAATAAAACAAACATGTCTGYTGTTGTTTCTCAAACATGTATAATTCCAATGTTTCAACCCTTTAATATGTTTGACTTTTTGTCTTTATTTTTAAGGGCTCTCTAACTTAGCTTATAATAACTTTGCATTTGTTGTTTTGAACATGTTTAGAAGTTTAACAGAATCTTAGCCAATTCTTATATTTTATGCTTTTATTTCTTCTATTTTTGATAAGCATTACTCAATAATTTTAACAGTCTATTTAGGCTATGTTCATAATTAATCATTAGTTAATTAGAATATTAATCTAATGTCTTTAAGAATTGAGTTACTCCTGCAGGGGTGTAGCACCAAATTCTGGGCCCTGTACACTCTTGATGTCAGTGAGCCTATGTCCGTGCCAATGCATGAGGTGCATTAGTAAAAAGAAAAAAAAGGGGGTATTCTTTTAAATAAAGAAGCATAACTAGGGTTTTAAGCTACATTCAGATCAGATTATATTGATGAGTGGTTCTTTCATTCATCAGCTGAATTGATGCATTTGGTCTACCTGTGTTCAAATACCTAAAACATTTTGCTACATTTGTGTACTAATGTTGTGATCCATGACACTCGATCAAATTTTGATTTAAAAACATTTATTCTTGAACTTTAGACAAATATTTGGTTCATGACGTGTGCTCAATTTAACTGTCTGCACACRTCATAAAMTGAACACCAAATGTTTCTTTTGTGATGCAATAATAGTCAAATCATATTAACTGAGATTATGTTCACCTTCATTAAACCATGTACTGTATCAGTCCTTTAAACTCACTAAGAACACAATTTGACAATCAGCCACAGTTTCATACAGAGACACAGGAGTAGCTCTATAGGTGTGTATATCCTCTCTAACAGGAGCATCAGAAAACTTGTAATGTGTGTAAAGGACAYATTGGAGGGRGGTCTGGKGGTCCTCCCCCAGAAAATTTTGAATAAAGTTGAGGCTATTTCCTGATTTCTAATGTGTTTTAATACACAAATAAAGAATTAGAGACAACTTGAGACAAATTCTTCATTAAACTAGTTGCATCGTCYTGTTTTTAAACTCACTTATGGTTCAGATAATTAAATTAATGTGATGATTTATCTCAAACAGGCTTGGAGGAGGGTTTTTTTCATTAATTTTGTTTATTATTCATTTAATTTTATTTATAACACAACACATTGTGCCAAACAATGACATAAAACTGCATGTTTCAAACTAAAATCATTAATAACTTTACCCAATGAACAGGTGTAATTATGATAACTACCAACTTTGACTTTAGTTTGACTTTTTTCTGATTTGATGACAGGTCCACTCATAACTGACATGGCAWCATGCAGCTTTCTTCACAACATAAAATAACATAATAATCTACATAACAATTTATTTTTGAAATGCTACAACAGAAGTTGCTCAAATGTGTTGAGGAACATCTAGAGGTCTTCTAGAGTCAGCCTGAAGTGAGTACAGTCTCTGACAACTAGCCATTTAGTTGCAATAAAGACAGCAACTTAGGGTAACATTAAAGGTACTATGTCAATAATAGGAGTGCTTTTATTTTGAAATGCTACATCAGAAGTTGCTCAGATTTATTAAGGAACATCTAGAGGTCTTCTAGAGTCAGCCTGAAGTGAGAGCCATCTCTGACAACTAGCCATTTAGTTGCAATAAAGACAGCATCTTATGGGCAGAGAAAGTTATAATGTAAATTTTGGGAGTGCTTTTATTTTGAAATGTTACATCAGAAATTGCTCGTAATTGTTGTGGAACATCTGGAGGTCTTCTAGAGTCAAGGTGAAGTGAGAGCCGTCTCTGACAACTAGCCATTTAGTTGCAATAAAGAAAGCAACTCAGGGTAACATTAAAGGTACTATGTCAAAAATGGGAGTGCTTTTATTTTGAAATGCTACATCAAAAGTTGCTCAAAATTGTTGAGGAACATCCAGCCGTCCCTGTTGACACCAAAATGCGACATCAGAACACTGTTTGCCACTGATAGGCTAGGGGGTGGAGTCATTGGTTGCGTCTGAGCTGCCTTTACAACAACTCGAGGTGCCATTTTTTCATTTGTAGCAGTGACATTAGTAATGTTTCCATTCAATTTTAATTAGAATTTTTAGCAAAAATAATTTTTCATTTCAGAACTTATTCAGAAAATGTTTTTCCATCTCTCATTTTGTGCATTAATGTTTTTTTTTTTTTTTTTTTTTTTTTTTTTTTGTTTTTGTTTGTTTTTTTGAAAAACCCAAAAACCACCTCCACAAACCTCCCAAAACACATCCACTGGAACCGGACTGGAATGTCAATGGAAAAGCACCTGAACTGACCCGTTCTGACACTAACCATACCGACACTACACTAAGTGGCGCTGGTGGAAAAGGGGCATAAGTGTAGTACTTTACGGAGCAGAAAATAAATAAATAATTAAAATTTGCTTTCACGTGTTTTTTTTTTTCTTTCAAAAACTATAGTATGCCTTCATCATTTTTGTGTAAGATCACAACTGGAAGTTTTAAAAACATAATATGTGAACAAATAGTTTCTGAAAAACAATGTTTAAAAAAAACAAAATGTCTGTTTGTATAGATTGTAAACACACAATGAACCTCTCTTCGCATGCCATAGTCATGTTTCCAGACAGATGTTTGAAATTCACCCACACGTTGCCTGTGGCTCTTCTTTAACAAACAAGGAAGTGCATCTAATTATGAGCAGCTTGTAATTAGAGTTTTTAATGGTTGTATACCAGATGGTCATTGTCCCAGTCACTAAACATACTATAAATACGATGTGAACATTGATCTAACAAACACTGGGGAAAATTTGTTTAACAAAAGAAAAGGCTAGACAAAATAAAAATTTAACTTGCTAAATCAGTAGACATGCCAGTACTCCCCCGTTTGTCTATATGACATAAGAGACGGTAGGATGGAGAGGATTGGGGTGCAGAGGCTGCCACTCTCGTCTACAGTACTAAAAGCATTGCTGTGGTCTATCGAGTTAAAGACGATGCTATAATGCAAAGCAAAGCTTTCGGTTTAATGGTCCATCTACATTTTAACCCTTACTTGGTCATGAGATATGGATCACGACAAAYAGAAAGAGATCTCMGATCCAAGTGGCTGAAATGAACTTTCTTTGTATGTTGGTCAGGCTCAGCCGTTAATCAGCTCAGAGGTGAACTCATGGACACCTTCCTCTGAAGGTCTTTTGGGCACATCTTACTGGGAAGAGACCCACAACTTGTCTGTCTGGATGGATAAAGGACAAGATACAGTAGAAGGTGTAAACTCCCATWAAAAAGTAGCTGTAATAATTGTACTTGTTAATCATTTTTTCCTTCCCTTGTGATAAAAACTTCTATAAATACCTGCAGAATTCTACAAGATCTCAGAAACTAAGGATGGGTCGCCAAGCTTCTTCATCAGGCTGCACCCACTCTTGGTTTCTAAGAGCGTGCARGTATGTCTGGATCATTTGGTGAAACTTCTGAACAGATTATTGAGCAGATTATAACCTTTGTTATTGCATTTTTTTAAAATTAATTCTTATTTTAATAAAAAGCATAAACAGCATTTGTTGCTGTGTCCTCAACAAAGATGCTCTCCAGCACATGATTTTAGAAGCATGTGAGCAACATATACTGGACATTAAATCACTGTTATAAACCAGACATCTTCTGGACATTTATTTAGCACCGGGTCTAAGGACACCCATAACTGAAAGCATGTTAATAATCATCCAAACCGACAGACAGGTGTGAACTCTGAGCCTTATACGTGCAAAAYGCAATCATGAGGTTTTATCACATTTTCACTTTTTTTTTCAAAGTTCTTAAAGGGAAGACATCTGTTTTTATGTGTCCAAATGTCTCTTACTATAATGTCAAATTATCACATGAAACTCTTTTCCTGTTTTAGATTTCAAATGACCTGAAGAATACAGAAGAGAAAACAGTTTAGAGATAGTATCCAAGAAAAAGAAATGATGCAGTCACTACAGAACCTGAGTCAGTGGAGACCTAGAAAAAATATATATATAAATGCCACAACTTCTCCTGATACAACCTACGTGCTCTTTTTTCCTTAAACTTTTAAGAGAAACACCCAAAGGAATAAAAAAAATAAGTAAACAAGCTCACATTGAATATTTCAAACTTTTCTACAAAGTGTGATTTGTGGTAAATACTGAAACAAAAGGCAAAATAAACAAAAAAATAACTGCATTCATTCTGTGATWAATCCCAAAATCCCAAACATTTTACAAGTTGAAAAATTTGCAGATCTTTCTGATGCATTAATTTATGTGATCAAAACTGAAAATGTTGGCCCCTGCTGCTTTGAGAATGGGGTGATAATAGTTTCCCATCAGGTAACAGAGAAAACAGGCAGCTTTGGATGCTCCTGAGTCCTTCCTGCCTCCTGCATATCTCATCATTACTGTCCACAGCAGAGCACTGTATCCCTATTCCAGTTCCTCCAARGACCAACATTCTTCCTCCCACTCAGAAACCTGTCTAAAGTGCAGGGACAKTGAATAAATCAGGAAACCTTCAGCCACAGGTCCATCACCCTCGTGTTAAAAACATTAACTCCAGATCAATACCAGATCTGCAGCTGCATCTCAGACCTGTTCAGTGACCTCAATGGTCACAGGAGATG